TGTCTCACAGACCTTACATTTTATTGTCCCCCACCGCTGTGGGTTCGAATCCCGACAGGGACTTTGGATTTCTTTCATATGAGGAAGCTATCCAGCTAGCTTACGGAACGTCCGGTGGTTCTACTCAGGTGCCCGTTCGTGCCTGAAATAATGCACGGAAGGGCACCTGAGGTCTTCCTCCACCAGTAAAGCTGGAACGTCGCGATATGACCTATACTGTGTCGATGTGACGTAAAACCCAAAACAAAACAAAAAAAAACCTTACATTTTAGACCAATTCCCTTTCACCACCAATGTCACTCAACCATAACAAGTAAACATTTGGTAGATCGGTAGCATGTTTGAAACGTTGTCGGGCGGCGTGTTGTTGCGATGTCACATTGTCGCTCGGCTCAAATCGAAGGATTTGCTATTTGTATATATAAAAGCCAAGAGACAGTGCGACATGGCGACAACGCGCCGTTTGGTGTGCTTTCACTACGACAAAAACAAAGCGCACGCACCGTTGGGGCGTTCTCACGAAAAAGGGGAAAAGATTACTTTCTGCGCTAGACAAAGCAATGCAAAGTTTTTCCAAATCGCCACCATAAAATAACAAAAACAAATTTTTTTCAAAATTTTCAAAAACTATTAAAAAAAGCAAGCAAAAATTATAAAACTTATATGTTTAGAACAAAAAAATATAACTTATATAAATTTTAAATTATTTACATAAATAATTCATTAATTTTAAAATTTTTGCGGGATTGCAAACATAAGGTTTTTTTTGATGTATTTTTTTACTACTTTTAAAAATAGCCCAAAATTAGCAAGGGCATGATGGACCAATGGTTCATGGGTTGTTCACTTTCACTTTTATATTTAAAATAATTTCTTTTTTTTTCTTTTTCAATTTAAAAAGAACATTACAATTTATTTTCCCTTTTTTTTTTTTTCCCTTTTAACATCAATTTTTTTTAAGCAAAAATGATTTGGCAATTTTCTCGCTTTTTTTGGCATTTTTTGGGGGGGGTTGTTTGGGTTTTTTAAACACCATTTAGTTATATGGCCCCCAAAAATTTTTGAAACTAAAAAATAAGCAAAACCCGGTGCAAAACCCCTCACCTCTGGAGTAAAAAAAGAAAAGTGAGAAATTAAACCTCTTTTCATTCGGGGGGCAAAAATTATGTCAAAATTAAAACAACCTCGCCACAAGGCGGGATGTAAATTAAAGATGAACATAGAAAGGTATTTTTTTTTTTAAAATATTCCATTCCTTCAAAATTTTTATTTATAGACAGGAGGAGCAAGTATAACTTCATTACATTCCTTTTTGGTGGCAGGGCAGGGTCGTTTAGCTTCCCTATTCGCCAAAAAGGGATTAATTAAATTGTAAATTAACCAACCCAATTATTTAAACTCGACTTGGGTTCGATTCCGGTTTCCAATAAAATTTTCTAAGATTTTTAAACGAGTCCCTGATGAAGTGCTAAACACTTGCCGCTAAATCAGAGAATTTTTAAGGGGGATTTTCTGTATCTAAAAAGCTTTTTTTCGGAGGGCTCGCCTATGGGGAACCCAGCGAGTATAAAAAACTGAAATACCACCATTTGTAAATATACACTGGGGTTTTTATAAAAATTTTTTTGGGCAGAAAACTTTAAATTAGCATTGAATTTAATTAAAAAAAAACTTAATTTCTAAAAATAAACATTGAAAGCATTTAAAAATTTTCTTTTTTTTGTGCACTTCACAAACAATTTAATTTGTTTTTGATTTTTATTTCAGAGTTTTCAACGATTGGAAATTTATCGTTCTGGCCTATATAACTTTCTGCTATAAGGATCTTCTTATCCCTCTTTATTTAAATTTTTTTAAATGGTAGTGTTCTTAACTGTATTCTTGAAATTTAAAAAATATCACTTTCAAAAGGGGTTTCGGGTTTTCGCTTTTTTATCAGATTTAAAAGTGTTTGTCCGAAGCTAAATAGAAGTTTTTTTTTAAATAAATTTTAATTTTATACAAATTTTAAAAAAGGGAAAAAACCATAAAAATGGGAAATTTTGATTTTGACATAAAAATTTTGTAAATAAAGATAAATTTTTAAAAGTTTTAAAATCAACAACTAAACTCTTGTAGAAATCTACTGTACATATATGGGAAATGTTCTTTTTTATCCTTAAAAATATTCAGCAAACTTTCTAATCAGTTTCTCAGGAAAAAGCGATTTTCTTATTATTTAAATATTTTTAACACCCAAAGGGGTTTTTAAAATTTTTTTTGCCCCTTCTGGAACACAAATAAAAACCTTGGATCCTTTCAAATTCCAAATCTTTTTTTTTTTAGCCTTGGATTTTCTCATTTAAAGGGTGTGTATTTCACCCTCGCCCTTTATAAAAACCCGCAAGACGATGGTAGTTTAGGGCTGTACTGCTTGCAGTTGCAAACCCCTCTACCCAAAGCCCAAATATTTAAATTTATTTTTTAAAGGGAAAAATCTGGTTTGGGGGCTTTTTTCAATAAATGGCACTTTCTGGTTTTTTCAAGGGAAACTAAATCCCCTTCGCAGTGACTAAATGTGTTTCTTGACCTTTTACCAACCATGACCTTGACGTTGTTTCATGAATATCAAAGCACGTCTCACTATGGTGGTTATTTGTGCTAAGTTTTTAAAATTTACAATATATTCAAAAATTATGGTGAGTATATGAATTACTTGGATGTAGAAAACCTGGATTTGACTCTGGAGAATGCTCATGGTAGGACATTTTTGAGCAAGTAAATTTTAAAAACCTTTGAATTGTCAATAAATTATAAGAGCTGAACAAGAAAAAAAAGATTTTTTACATTGGACCTTTTGAAGTGGACCATGACCTTAGGGCTGTGCCTTGAAAACTCTGGCAATGGTAGTCTATATGAAATCATTTCTGAAAAATTATCTTAAAAAAAACCATCGGTCTTAAATGTTTATGGACAGACACGAAAGTGACTTTCTAACATTTGACCTGTTACCTTGACCTTAGCCATTCAATTATTGCGCCTGCACATCGTCTAATTATGGTGATCACTTGTGCCAAGTAATTTAAAAAAAACTTTTGCGGTTTAAAAGTTATGGAGCGGATACGAAAGTGTTACGGAGGGCCATTTCTAAATCCCCTTTCCGGTATGCGGAAGGGATTTATAAAAAAAAAACTAATGTCAAATTAGGAGAATGTGGCAAACAAAAAACATTATTTATGCATTTAAGTAACTTGCGACACATCTGTGCAATTTCAAGTCCTTTTAAAGTTAAATCACTTTTTGCGCTAGCAACTAAATTTTCTGAATGAGGCAATTCATATACACTTATGTAAGCGCATTAAAAGTGGTCAAGATATTACGTGGAAAATGACGCAAACAAGATGCTTATTTCTAAAATACCTTGTACACCACATCATGACATCGCAAACAAATAGGTGTAAAGTGATACTCCTGGAAAGCAATGAACGACTGTGATATAAGATTAGAGCTTATGTGAGCAACTCTTGGAACAACTCCATGGTACATGGTCGTGAGTCGTGACCCAAGTAGGTATCGAATCCTGATCACTGGGTAGGACTTTCACACTGTAATCAAAGTGAAACTGCGCAGAAAATTTGTCAGGTCATTACAAATCAAGTGACGTACAATTTGAATTATAATCAATTATATTTAGCGTTTTTGATTATTTACGGCAAGTTAGAGATTTTACTTGTATAAACCAACAACAAATATGAAACAGACTAGATCTATCACCTTCTAAATTTATCCAGAATACGAACCAAGTACAACGATCCGTTAGCGGTGCATTTTTACACGAACCGGCGTGGCGGGCGTCGGTCATTGACGTTACGTCACTTCCATTGTTTTGTTTTAATATTTGTATGTAAAATAAATGCTGCTGAAGAAAGGCCGCAAGGCCGAAAGCTACGGCAAATTTAAATTAGCGTTTTTTATTATATACGGCAAGTTAGAGATTTTACTTATATCTATATATATATTTTAAATATTCATGTTTGTTACTATACATGTTAATTACTGGTGTATTTGCAAATTGGTATTTTTTTTACTTTTCTTCGTGTGACTTAAAATGGTTTATCACACACCCGTGTCGATTTGGCGACTCCGTAAATATGGTATTGCACGGCCGTGCATATATTTTGACGTGACGTCATTAGCGTTATACAAACATAGTGTAAAGACGCGCTAAATGTTAGCGTTATACTATAGGCGCGTCAATGAAAAATGACTCTTATTTCACTTTAAACGGTCATTATTTTGGGTATGTGATAAATAGAATATTAAATTCGTGTAAGTTCATTACAACAGCCAGAGGCTCGCATAATATAATTTTATTCAACTCGTGCAATAAATTCAGTATTGAACTTACACTCATTCAATATCCTCTATATATCTTTAAACTTAAAATAATTGTTCTTTGTTACACTCACATCATGTATGACAATGTTCATAAATCTAGCATCTTTCAAAGAGTTATCTCCTCTTTAAGCATTTCACTTTAAAAAAATGTTATAATTATTTTGGTAACAGGGATGTTTAAAAAATTGACTTTGAGTCTCCTTCAGTCTGTCTATTCATAAAAAACTGTTTCCTGAGATCATTTTTAAAGATTTTTTCCAACAAATTTACTTAAAATAGAGAAAAGTTGAAACATTAGTTATACTTATTTCATCCCGAGAAAACTTGACCTTTTGATTATCTGTTGTATTAACGAAATTTCCTTACTAGGCAGGGAAACTTAACATATTATTTAACTATGATATAGACAAACTTATAACTCAAAAGATTTAAGTTTATTCATGTTATTCATTCATTCAATGGCATAATTGAATGGCCAATGGCCCATCAGAATGTTGCTGGGGCTCTAACCGGTAGGGGACTTATGGATTGCTTGCAATACAATGATTATTGCTTGTTAATCCTGATGTAACATCATTACAATCTGTTCAAATGCCGCTAAAATCACATTGCATGCGTGTGAATCGCAAGAGCAGTGTTTATAAATAACCTCTATTTAAGAGAAAATGCCTAACTGACAGCTATACTGTTGACAAGGCAACAAATACAACTCGCAGAGTTCTAGTTTCTATGAAAATATGATATATTTTCATCGAGAGATATGAAAATAAAATTAATATTTTATAAGTGAATGTATAGTTGATGAAAATAAAGCCTTGCTTGTAGAAAATTTTCAGGAAATTTTCTGTTTATTTAATTATCATTTACTTTTATGACCTTACAATTCAAAAGGTTTCTCCTTTAATGTTGTGTACCGCCTGAAATAAGAAGAAAGTAGTCTGGAATTAAACGCATTTTATTTCATCAATATTTCATTTAAAAGTATTATAATAAAACCTGTTATCATTACTTAATCAATCATTTGTGAAAAAATAAGCCTATGGTTATGTAAATTGACAATGTAAATGTTAAAATCATACTATATAACAGTATAAAATATGGTGTATTAATTTCAAATGTATATTTGATTTTGTGATTACATAAATTTATACTGATTCAATTCTTTGGGTACATGCATATATATTTTGTGCTAAGATCAAATAAAATCAAATGAATGTTAGACTGATAGTCATCTCATAGCTTTGTGAGTGTTTTTTTTCTAACTCACAAAATAATTTGTTTATCCTTACTATTGAATGAAAATAAAAAATGATAAAATTAAGTTTTAATTTCTATTTTTTTTAGTATCAAAACACCCACTTCTAAAAATTGGGTAAATGTACATTTCGTTAATAGACATGTGTGTTTCTGCTGAATAACCAAGGCCCAGTATTCATGTTTTTATAAAATTATTGCCTTTATTTATTTATACAGAAAGTATTATAGCTTGATTATTTAAATAGCTATAAGCTTATAGACAAACTCTCTTATTCAACCACTACTACAGGTAAGCAATTTGTCTAAAGTTTCTCGCTCAATGGGAAAAGACACCTATTGGCTATTGCCATAGGTGCAGGTGCTAAAAAAAGTTAATTTTTGATATATTTATTTCAGTCTCAAATATATACATATATTTACACATCAGTACTTCATAATAAAATATACATAATCAATCTATTGCAGATTTAAAAGACTTGTCCTCTATAAAAAAAAAAAACAATTCACTTAAAAAGCTACAATGAACATATTTCCGCTATACAATTAGAAAAGTTATAATACACATCTATTATTTTAAAAGTTGACATTTTACAAGTACCTTGTCACATTTTTCTATTCTTCACTATCATATTCCTAAGTCGTTAAAACAAAAACAATTGAATGTCGCGTAATCATTTTCTCTATTACATTTATGTTAGATTATCTACATGACTTGTGTCTTTATATATTGATGTATTAAGCAAGTTCTACAATATAACACACCAGACTGATATATTTCTTAGATTTATAATAAATTGATGTACACAATTTTTTTTATCATATTGTATTAGCTGATATGGAAAAATGAATCAATTTCATGCAGTAAAGAGTACATTTTGTATTGCTAAATTCTTTGTTTTTTTTCTTTGTTTAATGAGAGATATTCAAAACAACTAATTTGTTTCCGAATAGGAAGCAACTAATACACAGTTTTTCTTTTTGTCATAGCACATAGCTAATGGATTCTTAAGACAACCTTTATTATCAACTAATTCGCCCAGACATTTACCATCTCTATCAAACATCATGATGTTGTGTGAACTAAAACCAGAAATAAACACCGTCCCGTCATTGGCTACACATACACCACGTGTGTTCTTAAGTCTTTTATCTCTCGGTTCTCTTTTCACCGTACCATCTCTGTTCAGACTGACAGCACCATCACTATTATCAGTTACAATAACAGTATCTCCACTGACAGCCATTTGTTGTGCATATGATTTTAATATGCGTTGACCATTGACATCATTTCTCATAGACTTTATCAATGTACCAGTCAAACTGTATACATTTACACCATTTTCATCAGATACCCACAACTGTCCAGCACAAATTGTCATTCCTGTGTAACCTCCACCTCTAACCGATATATCTCTCATCTTAGATAATGAGCTTCCTACTGATATAAAACAAACTTTGTAGGTGGCAAGTTTCACAGCGACCTCAGCATTACCGGCAGTACAACAGATTGCTGTAGGATATGTTCCTAGATCCAAACAATCTTTAATGTTATAATTCACATCAAGCCTCTTTATCCTCTTATTATTATAGTCAGTCAGAATGATTGTACCGTCTACAAGCTGACATATATCATTAATGTAACATTGATTACGGTCATTTGTCATCTTGATATTAATCTCTTTCCGTGAACTTACTTTATATATTTTTGACGTCAATAGGCTGTTCTTTTCTGTTACTCTCTGTACACTTCCTAGACATGTTGATGTTGTAATAGAAGACTTTAAGTCTGTATTCTCTGTAAAAACGTAAGCAAACACGACCTTTATCCCCGCTTTGTTCAAATACTTTCATTGCATCGTTTACAGTCTGTTGTATCACTTTTGTCTGAACAAATTGTTCTCTCTCATTAAGATTATGGGCTGTCTGTAGCTGGCTACTTGTTTTTCTCAATTTCTTGTTTAAGTTTACTTATCTGAGAGATATTTGTTTCCAGATCCTCTTTAACCAAAGTATATTCTGTCTCCAGGGCTTTCAATGCTTCATGCTTCAATTTCTGAATATTTCTACCAAGTCCTGTTCAATTGCCTCTACCTGTGCAATGACCTCATTTCTTTGCTCCTCAATGCTACTTGTATTCGTCTGCATCTTCCGTTCAGTGTCTTCTAAACGCTTTTTGAATGTTAACCATATCTGAACTTAAACTCTTAATGTCGTTTTGCTGGTTTGAAGAAATATTAAAGTCTTCTAAATTAAGTATTCCACTGCAAGATCTGGAGAAACAATCAATTATTACCGATTAAACAAACTAAATACAACATCTCCACTACACGTTCTTACAAGTCTGAAATATCAGAAAATATGACATGTATAAGCATTATTATTATAATTGTCAGCGAACAAGGAATATTAGCAAACTTTTCTTTCAAAGACAACAGCAAACAATCTTAACTATGTTCCTTTTCACTTTTTAAATCGAAGATCCTTCTTAACGTCCTTTTTTCATTGTACAAAGCAATTATCGAAATGAAAATGTTAGTTAGGACTTAATTCTTATTTCTTATAAGCTTTAACATCTTTTCTATACATCGTATTTGATGACTGAATAAAATTATATGCAACATATCGCAACAACATTTCTAAGTAGTCACTTATTAAAACGCATAGTTTTGAAAAGACTTTGCTCTATCAACCTGTATTTTCTAAATTTTCTTCTGGTATTGATCTTTATCATACCTTCATGAAAGAAACCATTTTTTTTCTTTAAAAATTAGTAATGCGTAATTAAAAATACTACACTCACGCGCAGCACGAGTAAATGATGTGTGTATGAAATATAATAACATATTCAATCGTGTATTGGATATTTAATTAGAAAAAATAGAATCTTATTGTGCCTTTTTATAACAACTTTTATCTCAATTTTAATGAAAAGGAAAATTTAATCTGGAGCAGAAGCAGAAAGCTTTCTTTAACCTTTGACGGATTGAACAGAATGATAATCAAAACAAACCTAAGAAGTAAAATTAAATGTCATCATCCTACATTCCAAGTCTTTTGCATTGGAAGCAAACGTTTATTGCTCTTTTTTAAGGGCAGATAACTCAAAATCAAGAAATTGGAGGCCTGATTTTATTTGTACTATTAATGGTTTTTCATCTTTAGTCATTTAAGTCCAATTTTACACACTTATATTAAACTGACATTTCAACCGACTTCAATAAAAACATTCTTAGTCTACATTTCTCTTCAAAAGAGGTCTAAAAGCCTACAACTATAAAATTTAAATTTTTTATATAAAACTCCTGGGAAACTTAAAAGGGAAAACGAGCAAGAAATAATATATACTCAGAAAAAATGATTTTTTTGCGATTCTAACCGATTTGAATTAAAAGCGATTCTTTTTGGATAATTTTGCGGAATTGAATGATTATTTTAGAAGCGAATGCTCTGAAATTCTGCACTCATTTTTTGTGCCAAAAAGCTGCAAAATATTGAGAGAAAAAATATTTCTATTCCCGTTATTTCATAATACCTCTGTGAAGTCCCTTTTAAAAAAGGAGACATTACTGGATTAAACATTTTCTATCAGACTGAGTATTGAATAAAATTTGTAACACTGAATTTCAGCAAATTTTGTTCTGGAATAGGGAATCCTAATAATAGACAGGAGGTATTGCTTACCAATGTTTTGAATAATTCTTTCCTGAAAATGACCCAAAAGAGCTAAAAACTCACAGGTGCATATTAGCTCACAAATAAAAATAGGTTTCATATAAGATTGTTTCAATCACAATTTTCCTTGAATTTAAGTAAAGTTCAAGGCACATTATGCAAAGAAATACTTACTTGTTAACTCTTAGATTTGTCAAACATATGTTAAACAATGTTTAATTAATGGAATAAGAGCATGTTAGATTTTTACAGATGAAAAATGTAACACTGACTGAACATGAAAATATGTGTCATATAGGTAGCAAAATACATTGTATAAACAAATTACGTATTTTTCACTTTCATGGCAAAATACTATTCACTATTTTAAATTAGTTAATGTCAGATCAAAAGAAAGTTAATATGGTGTAGCAAATGAGTACTCCCACTAAGGTTTTAGGAAAAAAAATCCTTTTTTAATGATGACACGGGTATTATTTAAGCTAACATATACAATTCAATTAAGGAAATCTACTTAGTATTTCAATTTGACTACACTCAACATAAAATGACAAAAGTGTAATATTATAATCATTTGAAAATACGTACTAACGGCAAAAGAGAACGACAGCTTTAAAGACACTTAGTTATTTAGACTATAAATAGACTCTATCCCGAACAGTGATTTAATACCTAAATAAACATCACTGTTTGAGTTCGATGCGAGAATTATATAAACGAGGGCGAGCCTGAAGTGATATAAATGATGCGCATCTGAACGACAAACATGATGTTATTCAAGCGATAAAATCACCGATTTGATATATTATTTCGATTCTAACACGACATCAACAAATAAATGCTGCAGTACCTGATATTAAGCAAATTTGCGCCTGATTTGTTTCCGTACTTATTTAAGGATTCTTTAACCCATTACTTCATATACACGCCTTTTAACGCCTTTTTCACCGCCCCCCCTTTTTGTGGTCTCAAATGGTGAAAAAATGCCTTATTTAGGCCCCCAACACTTGTTTTTGTTTGAGAAATGTTTTGTTAAAAAAAAGTGACCTCTTTTTCGGCGCGGCCCCCATCCAAAAGATACATCAGGGGGTTGCCAAAGGGGATGTGCCCCCTTCTGTTTGGGGGTTTGAAGGGGGGCGGAGTCCCCTCATCGCAAGAAAATTTTGGACTTGTGAGAGCTGTAAATGACCCCAGATTGATCATAAGGTAACGTGTACCACGCTGAAAAGTATTTGTCACTCCTATCTCAATCCATTGAGAAGTTGTAGCACTTTGAAGTCAATTGAATGGACGATAAAAAATCAACGCAAAATAGTGATTTTTTGGCAAATTTTGAGATGTCACCATCGATTTCATGGTACAAAAAAATTTAAAGCCTGAGCATTTGTTGCAGCAGGCCAATGGTCCAGTCAACATTTGTGCCAAGTTTGATTAGTGTTGAAGCAGTTTTTATAGTATTATAGCAGTTTGAACTTGTAACGGGAGACTTTTCAATGAAAACAGCCATTTTTCACAAAATGCTCATGAAGTAATGGGTTAAGTTGTTACGTCACATGTATAATGATTACGTCACATATCTAAATATAGAACGTCAACTGTGACTCTTTTGCATAATAACACACACTTTCGGTTCTTCTATATTCAAGAGTGAAAATAGTCTGGATTACCTGCCCTTTGTCTTGTTTACAATAGAAGCTGGGAACCAGACTAGAGTGAAAATTACGGTTCGTGTTAGAATAACAATTCGATCACTGTAATCGGTGTCACAGTTAGTACAAATGAACATATGACCCCTTAAGACAGCAAACCAAAATTCTTCAAAACTGAGAAATACATTTTGTTTTTATCAAACACGGAAGAGAAAATAGAGAAACATGGAAGAGAAAATAGAGAAAAATGGAATCCCTAAAGAACATCCAAAACGACAAAACTTAAAATGTTGCATGCTCGGTTTGATTGAGCCTGTTCATGGACGTTACTGAAAAGTGCAAGTTACCGTCCACGCCCCTAGCATAAACAAGCTTAATACTTACCACTCTTCCCCACCGTGTTTGAAATGAAAATATTGTTTTTGTCTGTTTTAGCTGTATACTTTCTCTTTTCAACTAACACTATTCAACTCTCACAAATACATGTACAGTGTTTCTTTTATTCTCCTTTACATGTCTTCTTTTAAACTTTCGCACAGACACACACCTGCACATAATACTCGAAAGATAAGATAAGATAAGATAAGATAAGATAAGATAAGATAAGATAAGATAAGATAAGATAAGATAGATAGACATAAACAAACCTGTGATTTGTGGCAATACATTTCGTGCAATATACCATGTCATGTTCTCCACAGTACATTTCAATGTCACGATCTGGATGGTAACGACCACTGGTAACCATAGTGGTTAACGTGTGGGTGAACCTTTTGTGATAGCACACAATCTTGACGCGTGAGTGACCTCGTTGAAGCTTTAATCGACCCATCGATGTCGTGTACATGTTATACGACACAGTTTTCCTCACAACACAGGCAATTAACTTGACGAAGACCCTCTCTCTGACATTATCCTCCCACATGTGAACACTGTACACAAAGTTAGCATCTGAGCCTCTTTGATTGAAGGTCAAATCACCCCCGCCAGCAAAGGGGGGGGGGGGGGATGAGGGGAGGGGGAGGGGGGGGGGGGGGGGGGGGGGGGGGGGGTGGGGAGGGGGGGGGGGGGGGGGGGGGGGTGGGTTTTTTTGGGGGGGTGTATAAATCTGGACAGAAAACAATAGATTTGTATACTATCCTATAGCTATGTGCTAGCTGTAGCCAAAAGTTTGGGTTTTTCCCTTCAAATTATACATGTAGCGCTTGCTTCTATAGAGCATACATTGTCACAGAAATAGCATAGCATTCTGTAATTGTACAAATGTGTTAACATTCTTGCGGACCACGTGCTAACAACTCTTAGATAATTTATCATTTACCATTATATACATGTATGTATGTTCAATAAAAGTACATATTACTATATGTAAATATCATAAAAAAACACAAAATAAAATACATTAGGCGTGTAATTTCAAAACAACATTCCAAACATTTTTAGAGGTACAAATGTATATAATATAGATCTAATTGTGTTTACGTGCATAAAACTACATGTACTGTACGTTTAGGATAATTATTTAGTGACGCAGCGGTCAAGTCCATTATTACGGTGTAAAGCAGTTATCATCGTGTATTTATCATATTTTTACCATATGAATTAAGATATCAACACATTTACCAAGTGTCCACGTAGCGCAGTAGGTAAGGCTATCAGTAAAAGTTATAATTGAATATCAATACAAGACAGGTTCGGTTCGCAAACATATTTTTGTATGAAGAATATGTTTTTTAATTATAAGCATTACGTGTGTTGTGCTATTCTTTTATTTACTTCTAATTTCACTGTTTTTTGGCAACCGTATAGGGCATGTTTTAATTAAAGTTCAGTTGTCACGAATAACTCAATACTCGTGCACTGCACAAGTACTATGATTACTAAATACTACACAAAACACAAGATAAAAATATTATTTAATACCGGTATATTGAAATTATTAGATATTAAAACAAAACTACCTTGATATTCAATTTCATATGCACTCTCACATTATCATAGCGGCACAGTAGCACAACATTAATTCTTTAAAGAAAATGTGTATCAATTTACAATAAATACTTCTTTAACGATATACTCGTCTAACTGGGGCAAAGTTTAGATAAGTACATTTTAATAGGTATACTCCCTCTCCTGTGGTTAATATAACCTCTTAACCATCGCTAATTGTGTGTGTTCACATTTTCTCTATTATTGATATTTGTCCGAAATAAAAATTATTTCACGGAATTAAAGAGTTATAAAATTAAACATAAACAAGTCCTTACCGTTCTCTACGTTGCTTTATTTTTGTGTCCCTAGTTTCGTTTTCGATTTTCTGTCCGCGTAATAATAAGTAGGCATGGAGAATACTACCACACAGCAAACCGCTAAATATTTTTAATTTCAATATCCTTATAAAAGCTCAGAAATAATGAGAATGATTCAAAACTAAGTTAAATCTATAGGTTAGTGCTTGTAAATGAGAAATGATAAACTTGAATTTGTATTTCCGTACTTTGTGGCGTCTGTTATTGGTTATTTATCACGTAACGAAAACAATTTTACAGTGATCTTATTAGTATAATGCAGAGGTCATGCTCACTGACAACTGAAATTATCGTGAAAAAGATATTACGTTAACAGAAGTTTAATATAAATGGAATAATGTTTACTCTCATTTAAAAATATTGTTAATTATTTAGACAACAGTGGTCGCCGGTCTTAACAATTTTAATGTCGTATTTTTTATTCTTTTAAACAGGACTGGTATGGAACATGAGAAAGCATTTCTGTATTGTATATGTATAACAAGAAAAATATTACATACATTCGTATGTAATATAGGTACGATTGCATACTACTTTTTGTGAAGACTTTTTATGTTTGCTGCATTAAAGGTGCAATGTAAAATGAACAAACATGTCATGAGATATTTTATATCTTTAAACATTTTCATGGAATGTAATTAATGTATCATCATATTAAAGTTGCATGCCTTCAAATGAGAAAAATGATTTCAAGGAAATCAAAATATGAAAAGAAAATTCACGGTCAATTGACTGCTTTGAAGCATAATCACAAAATAAAATTACAGGAAATTAAAAACCTTTTTTATACACTAAAGGTAGAATTTCATTGTAAATCATAGTCAAAGATTTGAGATATGATTATTTATTCATTTTAACATCATTATTGGTTATATATTGATAAAAACAAAACCCGAAAGACACAGTTTGTAAATATTTATTACAATAAAATATGAAAAAGGTATACGAGCCGAGGTTAGCTATAATTAAAATTCCCGCGCTAAGTCGCGGTGGTGCTTGGGATAATCACTTGATACTGTAAATGGCAGCCATTTTACGATACGAATCTTCGGACAGTTTATTCTGCCGAAAAGATATGAAAAAATACTTGCAATTCAAAGTTTGCTGGCTACATAAAGATTATCGATTTACTCTTTGCACACTTTTTCTCTGCCCGAGTATAATAATATTTACGTTTTTTCATTGGCTTAAACCATCACGTTACCAATACACATGTAGGTGTGAACTAATTTCGTGTTCATTAAAATTATTCCGTTAATAGACATATAACAATCTTATTTACAAATGAATTGATAAAACAACAATCCCAGAAGCATTTAAGATAATAACAATCATTGGAAAAAATGAATGCATATAAATTGTAAATTTGTGTATGACAACTCAACCCCCTAAACAAAACATAATAGACTCAACCAAAACAAGCGCCTGCTTCTTCACCTAACTATGTAGTTGCATGACCATGATTAGCAATTTAGCAAACCAAATCTAAGAGATAAATATGGAATGCCGGTAGGGACATGCCACTTTGCTTATTTGCCAACTACTTAATTGCTTATTTGCTAATTGCTGATTTGCCAATTTGCTTATTTGCCAATTTGCTTATTTGTCAATTTGCTTATTTGCTAATTGCTTATTTGCTTATACATGTATACATAATTTTTTATGCTATTGTCAGGCGACACGTCCGACTCGCTAAGTTCTTGTTTGATATAAAATAACAAGTCTTTGTAGACTTTATTTCAAGCTCATGAACCTATATCATGTTAATATTATGTTTATAAAGTTTTGTTAATTATAACTTGTGACAATTATGATCAATCCATTATTACCTAGAATATAGGTAGAAAGACAGATGGATACTTTTTAATCAATTTCGAAAAAAATAAATTTAGTTTCAGAAAGTAGTTGTTTTTTTTTAATTTTCTTGAGTTTCCGTTTTAGCTCCACTATTCAGAGAATAGGGATGCTATTCTTAGTAACTTGTTTTTCTGTCATATCTCTGTTACTTTTGCTGATTCATGCATCTTACTGCAACTTTGCATAAACTTTGCGTTACAAGCATGCATACAAAGTACATGAAGAAGCTGTGCCCGTTATATACTGAATGTCAAGGTCACCAATGTATTGTACTGAGAAACCTTTGTTTTTCTGTCATATCTCTGTTACTATGTTACTATTGCGTATATCTAACTGTTACTTCACATAAGCGTTAAATAGGCAGCATGCATACACAATATTCAAAGAGGCTTTGTCCATTATACCCTAGATCATGGTCATGGTCACCTGATAGCATGTAAAATGTACAATATGAAAAAATGGAAAAGTGTGACCAAATTTCAAAACCATTGAACCAAAGCAAAATGTTGATGCACACACTGACATAAGTGATCTCAAAATCTTACAGAGCTAAAAACGAAGCCTATTGCTTAAGTGCAAAGACAAACACCCGTGTTAAGCATGCACCAAATGTATCATTTGTGATACTATGTGTTCGTACCACTAAAATGAGGCCCTCTGTGACAAATCTGCTGAGAATAACGACATTTTATATGCCATAAAATAATAAATAGTTTTGTTTTCAAGTTCTTTTATTTTCAATCTTTAACCAATATTTTTCACTTATATATGACTAATCAAGTGTTTATTATGCCACCAATCTCTGACTTAAGCTGCACAAACAGATCTATAGCTGCAACACATTATAAGGCATTCTCAAGCACAGATGCTGGCGGGTCAGATCCTGCCCCTAACGTGATACGCGTCTGTAAACACTATATCAAAACTATTTTAATATTTATTTAAATACAAATTGGACATTTGTTACAACGATAAAACCATTAAGTACTTTATTGAGACTTGGTGGTATATGGTATTTTTTCATACCGGTATATGTAAAAATTGCTTGAAAACCAGTTTTAACGATGTCCAATTCGTGTTTAGATATCAAAATATTTTAAATAGAGTGTTTACAGGGGCACGTATCACGTTGGGGTACGGGATCTGACCCCAAGCGTCTGTGTTCTCAAGGACATGTCAGCCATCAGTTGTAGACATATATCTGCGTAGGCATCACTGCAACTAAATTCATTGACCAACAATATTCTTGGAAAAACACTGAATTTACAAGAATACTGTTGGTAAAAGTTAACAGATCTGACTCAACTGGTTGTCTGTAGTCAGATGTTCCATATACTTCCGGCACAGTGTAAACTTTTTCTATTGCAAGAAAGCAAGTTAGCAATAGGCAAATAAGCAAATACGTTAACCAGCGGTTAACAAATAAGCAAATTAGCAATTCAGCAATTGGCAAATAAGCAAATTTGTCATTAAGCCTATCAGCTATTGGCAAATAAGCAAATCGGCAATTAGCAAATAAGCAATTCAGCAATTGGCAAATAAGCAAATTGGCATGTCCCTACCGGCATTCCATATCTAAGAGATA